CCACTAGCCAAGTTCGATAGGACCCAATCCCCCGTCGCCTAACACCACTAGCCGAATAGGAGAAGGTGAGAGAGGCACGGGCCCTCAACCCCAATCGCCAAAACGAGATACGCAGCGGCAACTAGAGTCCCCCACACCCGATGACTCACATTACCTTTAGACAATGGCTGAGATTCCGGTGGTGGTGAAACCTCATCGGGCAAATCCCTCACAGCTATCACCTAGTCGAATTTCTTGGCTCAACAACTGATTCATAGTCTCCCTCATAGCTTTAAATTAGAGTTGAATGTCGAACATCAACTTGCACAAAGGTTTAGTTACACCCAATTGTTCATAAAATCATTCAAAACCCAGAAATTTAAGACCTCTTATCAATCTAAACTAAATCTAGTCCATCAACCTCTCCAAATTTAGGAATCATCAATAATCTGACCGTAAGAGAAAAACACATAACATACACTCCCAAAAGCCAAATCGTAAAGAATCAAGCTATAGTTGACCTAATCCTCCCAACTCCAAACAGACAGTGAATTAAATGTACAAAAATGAAAAGGCAAGAACAGAAGAAGAAGAAGAAGAAAAGAGGCAAACACACAGTGGCACAAGCTCACCTTGCATCCCAGGTCTGGGACAAATCCGCCCATCATTGACTAGAGAGATATTCGCCGGCATAGGCACATCCAGTGGGACCACCCCGAACTCCGTACCCGCCAGCTCAACCCAAACTCCCATCTGGGTTAAATCCCCGCTGTCTCGATACCCGTTTCTAGATCCAGATTCGAAAACCCCGCTAAAACTGAACTGTTTCCCACAGGCCCCGACATCGCGCTCCCATTTGCAAGCACGACATTCGTGGCCGACACCAAATATTCCTCATGCTGAAACCCGACGAAAAACTGCCAGGATTTGAGCTTGTGGGCGTCGTTGTTGAGCACGGTGAAGGAGGACTGGAACTGGTAGGGCTGTCGGGCTGGATATGAGAACCGAACCGGCGGGAGGATCCTTCCCCCTTCATAGGAGTAACAGAGG